CTTGACAGCCATTTTGCGAGCTGTTCTCCATATTTTATAATTATGATATTTAAAATGACAATAAAAAGCTCTTTATCAAATGAAACTTTTACTTTTGTGTGAAATTGTAATCATTATGATTAATTGGTAACAGGACATCGTGTCGTCCAATTCAGTCTGTAATCATACTCGTGATTAACAAATCGGACTCCCGCTTCGCGGTCGTCCGATTTTGTTAATCACTCGTATGATTACAGACCGAATTGGACTCCACTCAGTCCTATCACCATTATTAATTAATAAATTACTTAATTACATTACACACTTCTTGACTTTACTTTACATCTACATTGTATACTACACTACTACACACTAATACACTACTTATACTTAACACTTGAAAATGAAATAAATAAATAAATTAATAATAAATAAATAAATAAAATGCACACGCAGTACATCATGTTGCTGAAGTCGCATGAAGGCTATGGAGTCGCAGACATCGTATATGCATGGTACAGGAGCTTTGCTCAAATTTCTCCCACCTTACAGCCCAGATTTAAATCCAACAAAGGGAAGCTACCACCAGGCGAAAGAATTCATACGAGAAAATGATATCACCTTTTGCTGCTGCTTTCAGCCGCGCATGTTTATTTTGCATGCTTTTGGGCAAATTTCTCCAGAAAACTGTGAAGCATACTTTAGAATCTGCGGCTATGAGTTGTTAATAAGAAGAGTTCTAATAAATGGTAGAAATGGTAATACCATAATACAACATTGAAAGGGCAAAAGAAGAGCCCATTTTCCTGTTAGATTTTACATGGAATGCTAGACCTGCTGTTTCATACGGACGGGAATTATCGCTTTGAAAATTTTTAATACCTAAATCTAAGATCAGTGAATTAATAGATACGCCTAATTAATTTCTATTTGGCTTTTTCGTTTTTTCCTTTTTCTTTTTATTACATGAAATTTTGGCGACATGTTTATTTCACGATTTTGTGCTGCGCACATTTCGCGACACTGAAATTCCGCGATTTTGCGACAATTTTGTATTTTGAATCACTTTAACTTCGCGTTTTTGAGTAACACACAATCTATTTCCTTGGGATGTTACTTTGGCATGTCCTTGAATTTGGTAAACTGACTTTATCAAAGGTACAATAACGTCAAAATTAACAAACGCAACGGCGGGACTACATCTCAACAGTAACACTGCGCGGAAAGGGGTGGTGTGGACAAAACGTGGGGTAAGCCATGGCCTAGGCCATAGTGTGGGCCATGGCCTACCCTGTGGCCTACCTTATGGCCTACCGGTGGTCAGATTTTTAAAAGCATTATCAAAACATCAGTAAGAGTCGAACGAGTTAGCTGACATAACATTATAATCCCTCTAATAGAGGTATACTAAAAAGTCACTAACATGATTCTCAACATCAGAGGTAACGAAACAATGCAAACCTTACTGCACTCAGCCTTGAAATATCCTATTCCTCGCTGACTTCGACATCTAGCTTCCGCAGCCAAGCAATCAACCATAACGGCAGGTTAGGAGGGAGGGGAAGGGTCCGTGTGGGACTCTCATATAAAAAAAGACGGGGGTACTGGTCGGAAATTTTAGAAAGAACCCCTAAGAGGTACCAAAACTGCGTTTTTAACCCCTAAAAGGTATGGCAAACACCCCTGTCATTTTATATATGGGATCCCCCCACCGGGAAGGGGCTGATATTACGTGGTCGCTGAGAATATCCAAAATGGCTGCTCCACGATCCATACCGGTTGCCAGTTTGTAACATATTGTGGAGTGCTAGTGTAAACATGTAATGAACGGCGTTAGTGACTGTTAGTGCTGGTGTTAGTGACTTTTCGTATACCCCTATTACAGGGATAAAAGAAGCCACGAGGGATATAATTTTATGCCACCTTACTCATTCGACTCTTACTGATGTTTTGTTTAAGTTTTTAAAAATCTGGCCACCGGTAGGCCATAGGGTAGGCCACAGGGTAGGCCATGGCCTACCCCACGTTTTGCCATAACATAATGTGAGTCACTTAATTTTCGCGTCAAGTTACGTTCGGTACACTTAATATTTTTAAATAACGAAATTCGCGAAATTAACGTGTCGCTAAATTTCATGTAATAATGGCATTTTTCTAAGACAACGTTCTCGCAATTAGGTGTACACAATGAAACACCATCAAGCTAAGTAAACACCTATTCGTGATTTGTGATCGCCTCATTTATGTAAATAATATACTACGTTATTTCTTCTGTTAAAATTTATATATAGGTTAAAAATCTTGACAGGAAAAATTGTCAAAAATGCAAGTTTTATTGGATAGTATATCTACAAACTTACGCGAACAAAAAAAAAATACAAAGTTTCGTGTTCATAGTTAATTTTTTTAGAATTAGATGAAACCTAGCTCTTTCTTTCGATGATCATAAGCTTCAAACCGTGCCAAACCATAATCGTGAAAAGAAAACACGAAACTGACGAGGTTGTGAGAAAAAAAACGTACCAACAAAACAAAATANGGGCCCATATTACGTGGTCGCTGAGAATATCCAAAATGGCTGCTCCACGATCCATACCGGTTGCCAGTTTGTAACATATTGTGGAGTGCTAGTGTAAACAGGTAATGAACGGCGTTAGTGACTGTTAGTGCTGGTGTTAGTGACTTTCCGTATACCCCTATTAGAGGGATACAAGAAACCACGAGGGATATAATTTTATGCCATCTTACTCATTCGACTCTTACTGATGTTTTGTTAATGTTTTTAAAAATCTGACCACCGGTAGGCCATAGGGTAGGCCACATAGTAGGCCATGGCCTACACCATAGCCTAGGCCATGGCCTACCCCACGTTTTGTCCACATCCCAAATAGGGTATCGATTTTAGCCTGTTTTGGCCATTTTGGTCATAAATAGGGTATGGTTTTTGCACTCTAGCCTTGATATGGGTATGTTTTTAAGAAAAAGCAACTTTTTCATCATTATCAAAAAGAAAATTAACAAAAGCCCTTTGCAAATTATGTTAACGGTTATTTAACATAGGTCTGAACTAGGGAACGTACAACACAGGTCTGAAACACGGGTTTGATTTAATAGGGTATCGAATATTTGGTCGTCTTAAAAAGGGTAGGAAATATCACAGATTTTGGGTAAGGGTAAGGGTTTTGGGAAGCAGGCCGCACACCCCACCCAACTTTTCTGGGAGTACCCCCCGGGGGCTCCAATGTTCGAATGAAACGTAGGATCGCCATACATCGGGGAAAAAACACTCACCACCAGGAATTCTGGATGGTTCCCTGTCTCTAGAATTCGAAAGTCGATTGATTTTCCATTGTTTAAAAAGCTTTCTGGCACTCAGTCTGTTCACAGTAATTGATGACTCATTTGAACTACGATCATTTAAATCTATCAAGTACAACAAAGCTTTCATATCATTCGTTATAGTTCACCATTAAATTTTCTCCGATTCTTATTGGTTTGAATTGATAACGTGACGCGATAGTGTTCATCCGCGAGACAATATCGGCCCTCGGTGCCCGTCCAAGGAAAATACCCGGATTGATACTACTTGGCCGTGCACAGTTGAAATTGTATTAAGTGGGTTTTTGTCTGATTTCTCTTTAAAATTTTACATTTGGCTTTCACGGCTTTCATCTAAAAAAGTTGAAAATAATTCAATATAATTTTTGAACTGGCCCGCGGAAGACAATTTAGTGATGAACAATAAAGACAATAGAGTGTTTATGTCTCTTAACTATCGGTCTGATAGTTGCTCCTTGGAAATTTGATGTTCTTAAAACTAGCACATTTGCCCTCGAAACTTCGCTTCTCAGGCAAATATTTGTTTCAAGAGCATCAAATCTCCGCGGGAGCAACTATCAGCCGATAGTTCCTCGACAGAAACACTCTATTATTTAAATAGTTTATCGATCACTACAAGATTATCCCAAAATGGTCGCTCGAGAGGCGCAATTATGAAACATTAGAGCTCAATATCTGCCCCAAAGAGGCTCAATTATCCCACATCGGGGCCCAATATTCCTCCAGAGAGGCCCAGATTTCCTCATACGAGGCTAAAGCTACCTCCAAAATTATCAAGCATCGGCAAGGGTGGGTGTTGTAAATAAGTTAGGGACTGGAGCTGGTTTGACCTGCGAGGTCTGAGTCGAGTCTCGCGATTGACACTTGAAAAACGTGTGCAGGAAAGGAATCGAAGAGAACGGAAAGGAGTCTAGCTTGGACATTAATCTATCTCTGTATTACGGAAAATATCTATCGGAACACGGAATTAACTCTTAGAACAACATTGTCATATCTCGGAATCTATCAAAGGATCAAAATAAAGAGTATGGATTGATACAACAGTGGGTGTCTGGAAAACCCGAATAGCGAATAGCAAATAGTCCCGAATAGTGCGAATAGTTAACCGCGCGGCCATGGGCCGAGCGCGGTTCATATTCTACCCTTGGTTTATTATTATTATTTTTTTAACCGCGCGGCCATGGGCCGAGCGCGGTTCTAGGTTTACCCGTGGTTTATTATTAACCACGCGGCCATGGGCCGAGCGCGGTTCATGTTCTACCCTTGGTTTATTTTTTTTATTTTTTTTTGTCGGAGGCCAGACGCAGATCTCCACTCGGCCAACTTTGAATTACGCAACCTGTAATGTTTACTCGCCAAACCTTGTTTCTTCAGGGTCAACAGAAATCTCAGATTACAATTGAAGAAGACTCGAAAGCTGCGAGGCCATGTGAGTCACGGTCATGGTCGCGTCGGTAAGTAGGGATTGTTAAAAAACTACATCAGAGCCTCAGAAGAGAACCTCAGCGAGTCTTCAAGCTAATGGTTACTGAAGTTGTAATTCAAGTTTTCGCTGTAGATGGAAATCGAGCAGTTTACGACTTCGTGTACTTATCAAGTTAAGCTTATCATCAAGACTTGTTGCATTGTTTATTGCTCAAATGTTCGTCCGTTCTGTCACTTTGTGAGAACCTAAAACTAACGAACCTGTGAAGTCTTCGGTAGTAAGTAGGAAGGAGATGTTTATAAAAATCCAAAAAAGGTGTACAAAACAATATTTAAATTACGGCAATGGCTTTTAAGTTAATATAGGCTTGTCTTACGAGGACATAAGGACGTGGGAAAGAGGATTGCAAATTGTCCTCTTTTTCTCCTGTCTAGTTTCGTATTCTGCTCAGTTGTTATCGCTATATAATTTGTGTTTGACTTGGAAGTTTTTCTGTTGTGGTCATATGACCAAGTGATATCTGTGGTGTGTTTGCAGGAAAGCACAGAAAACATCCTGGTGGTCGTGGTAATGCTGGAGGACAGCATCATCACAGGATCAACTTTGATAAATAGTGAGTTACAGATATATATATATATATATATGTATATGATTTCTCACTTATACTAGCACTGTGACATTTGGAAAAAAATTGTAACTGCTGTCTGCAGCTACAGTTAAACCCCACTATAGTGTGAGATGTCAGAAGTTCAAGGTAGCCGATAGTAAGTGACTGAAATAGCATATCCAAGGGAAAATGATTTGGTTTTGAGGTCACAGGGAGTTTGGAGATTATTGAGTTCAAGATAGTGATGGTTCTACTGTAGGCATAGACTTGTCATGGGATAGCATGATATGGTTGAAGAATAACAAACACATCGTTGACTTTAATACAAACTCTCAAAGTGCAATGTTGCTTCAGATGAACTTTCAAACCTGGAGTACTTGTATGTTAAATGTTTTTTTCTCCTTTGTAGTTGTTAGATTAGCTCTTGCTATTCGTGGCTCAAATAACATGTAATTTTACAATGAAAGAAAATAAAGATTATTATTGTTGTTGTTTGTTGTAAGTGGGTAAATATCATGGCATCTAGCCACAAGTAGTCAGAACACTCTAACNAGTCTTCAAGCTAATGATTACTGAAGTTGTAATTCAAGTTTTCGCTGTAGATGGAAATCGAGCAGTTTACGACTTCGTGTACTTATCAAGTTAAGCTTATCATCAAGACTTGTTGCATTGCTTATTGCTCAAATTGGACGTAATTTGCGTTCTGTCACTTTGTGAGAACCTAAAACTAACGAACCTGTGAAGTCTTTGGTAGTAAGTAGGAAGGAGATGTTTATAAAAATCCAAAAAAGGTGTACAAAACGATATTTAAATTACGGCAATGGCTTTTAAGTTAATATAGGCTTGTCTTACGAGGACATAAGGACATGGGAAAGAGGATTGCAAATTGTCCTCTTTTTCTCCTGTCTAGTTTCATATTCTGCTCAGTTGTTATCGCTATATAATTTGTGTTGTGTCAGATGGAAAAGTTGTTGACATCGACTTGGAAGTTTTTCTGTTGTGGTCATGTGACCAAGTGATATCTGTGGTGTGTTTGCAGGAAAGCACAGAAAACATCCTGGTGGTCGTGGTAATGCTGGAGGACAGCATCATCACAGGATCAACTTTGATAAATAGTGAGTTACAGATATATATATATATATATATGTATATGATTTCTCACTTATACTAGCACTGTGACATTTGGAAAAAAATTGTAACTGCTGTCTGCAGCTACAGTTAAACCCCACTATAGTGTGAGATGTCAGAAGTTCAAGGTAGCCGATAGTAAGTGACTGAAATAGCATATCCAAGGGAAAATGATTTGGTTTTGAGGTCACAGGGAGTTTGGAGATTATTGAGTTCAAGATAGTGATGGTTCTACTGTAGGCATAGACTTGTCATGGGATAGCATGATATGGTTGAAGAATAACAAACACATCGTTGACTTTAATACAAACTCTCAAAGTGCAATGTTGCTTCAGATGAACTTTCAAACCTGGAGTACTTGTATGTTAAATGTTTTTTTCTCCTTTGTAGTTGTTAGATTAGCTCTTGCTATTCGTGGCTCAAATAACATGTAATTTTACAATGAAAGAAAATAAAGATTATTATTGTTGTTGTTTGTTGTAAGTGGGTAAATATCATGGCATCTAGCCACAAGTAGTCAGAACACTCTAACTTTTCTTTCCTAAGTATTGAGATAAAGGAAAACTTTAAGTGAGGTGTTGTCAACAGTGTTTTCATAAAAGCCCCTAAAAAGGTCATAGCAAGAAATGTACAGTAACCTCTTTGGAGAGTTAATGTTTTGATCTCTGGATTCCTTATAGCCATCCAGGCTACTTTGGTAAAGTAGGCATGCGATATTTTCACAAGACAATGAACAAGTACCATAGACCAAGTGTTAACCTGGACAAGCTGTGGTCCCTTGTCAGTGAGCAGACTAGGCAGTACTACAAGGACAAGACAGATGGCCCAGCACCAGTTATCGACGTCGTTAGAGCTGTAAGTGTGTCAAAGAAATGTTGAATTATCTAAGCTAGTTGTATTGAAGGGAAAACCCCACGTACTGTTCAAACTTTAAGGCAGGATGTTGA